TTCGTGTACGCCCGGCATGTGTCTGCGCGCAGGGCTCTGTAGAAGATCACGGTGCTGCCCTGAAATGGCCGCAGCCCTGTCCACCTTCGCAGTAGCGCACTAATCCTGCCGGAGAGCGGGGTTCTGTGCTCCCTGGGTGGCTGTGGTGGCACGTTGGTGTCCCCAGAGCGTCGAGGCTTCCCCCAGGCTCTGGTTGGGGTTGGTGCCGGCTGGGCTTTCCGCAGGCGCCTTGAGGCTGATGGCAGTGCGATGGCTTTGGCTCTCTGCGGACTCGTTAAATCCTCGGGTCACTTCTGTGGTTGTGCTTCTGGCAAACGCACGGTGCCTGCGGGCTCTCTGCGATTTTGCCGGCTCCTGGCGCATACGGCTGAACGGAGCTGGCTGGGGAGCAGCCTCCTCAACCTGTCTCAAGGTGGGATGAGGCTTTTGATTTTTTTTTTTTGGGTTATTAGGGAGTTGAAGGAAGCCCAGAGCCCAGGTGGGGCTCGGGGCGCTGGAGCTGTGGCCATGGCAGCGATCGGGCGGCCCCATCCACGGAGATCCTGGCCCAGCCTGGCAGAGCTCTGAGCCCAGAGCCGTTGATCTTTCTCACGCTGCTGATGAGAGGGCTGGTTTCGAGTGACGCTCGCGCCCTGATCCCCTGAGTAAACTGAGCGGGTGCTAAACGGTGGCTGTCATGGAGCGCCGGTGTGGCGGGTAACCAGGAGTGTGATGGATGGCCGGGTAGGATTAGAGCAGCTGCGGAGAGACCCATTAGTGTAAGTCATCTGCTCAGCGTTTACGGCTTAAACTGTCACGTCAGCTCAAGCTGACGGGCGAGAAACCTGCAGGATGGCTCCCGCGCAGACAAAGCGTCCACGTGTGGAACGTTGCGAAGCTTAACGCGCGTGCAGGCTCCGTAAGGAAGCGGATGAAGCGCCCTGGCGTTGTTTTTGGCTTCCCCCACGGCTCCAGCTCCTCACCCTGCCGCAGCCCAGGTCACCCTCATCTCCCCCCTCTAGGCTGAGGCTGAAGTGGCGTCTCTGAACCGCCGCATCCAGCTGGTAGAGGAGGAGTTAGACCGAGCCCAGGAGCGCCTCGCCACGGCTCTGCAGAAGCTGGAGGAGGCGGAGAAGGCGGCAGATGAAAGCGAAAGGTGAGCGAAGGGCTGCTGCTCTCCCTCTGTCCAACATCTCGGACGTGTTCCCGAGCGAGGGTCCCATGCCATCAGCCTCTTGGGCCTCCTGGAAGGTGGGAAGCAGACACCACATCAAGGCGGGATGTGGGAGTTGGCACCTGCGCGCGTGGAGCAACTCACGCGACGCTCTCGGCCTTGGGCCAGTGTCTTGGAACCCGAGGAGAAGGAGCGAGTAAGCGCCGTGTGCTGCCGCGCATCCCCACCTCCCGGGAGGAGAAATCCGTGGGGTCTGGGATGAGGTTGATTCGCAAAGGTGGCTGCTGGCGGGGAGGCCTCTCCCTGCTGGCGATGTCCCCTGACGTGGCGGGGGGGATTGGGAGGGAAGTGGTCCCCCTCCCGTGGGCCGGAGTGGCCCCTTGGTGCACGGTGAGCAGCTTGACCCCGCTGATGACCTGAAGCCTGACCCCACTGATGACCTGCCATAAAGACAGACTTGGCTCTTCCGGCATTCCAGCCTGGAGAGTGCTTGGCTGAGCCGTGCGCATTCCCTCTGCCTGGCTTGTTCTCGGCAGCACGTTGCCTCGGTCCAGGAGCTCGATGAGCTGCTGGAGGAACGCCCCAGGAACAGTTAATTCTGAGCGATGGAGGCGCTGTGTTTCCATCGGCCCAGCGGTGTCTGCCTTCCCGTGCCGCCCTCTGCTCTCGGAGGTGTTGCGGCTCGTAAGGAAGCGACGTGGTCTGGGGGGAGCACCGGTAATGCTCCGAAACTCGTTACACCGCTGGCTTGTACGGGATTGTTTTATACATCTCCCCTCCCCGTGCTTTCTTTTGGGCAGAGGCATGAAAGTGATTGAGAACAGAGCTCTGAAGGATGAGGAGAAGATGGAGCTGCAGGAGATCCAGCTGAAGGAAGCCAAGCACATTGCGGAGGAGGCCGACAGGAAGTACGAGGAGGTGAGAGCCTTGGATGCGCCGGTACAGCTGATCCCGGCCAGGAGAGGCGGTTCTTCTTCCTGCTGCCAGGGCTCTCCTCTGCAAACCTGGCTCGAGCAGAGCTACAGCGCTGTTCCCCTTCGCCAAAAGACTCTGACTCCTGTGGGCGTTCTCGTTGCTGCCTCACGCAGCCTCCAGGTACAGAATTATCCCCCTTGAACTCCGGTTCTGCCTTCCAGGTTGCTCGGAAGCTGGTGATCATTGAAGGAGATCTGGAGCGTACTGAGGAGAGAGCTGAGCTTGCCGAGTCGTGAGTAGTCTGCTCGCACGTAACCGGCACGTCTGGCTCTGCATGGGAACTAACATGGCGTTTCCAACCTTGTTACACGAGGCCTGGAGCACAGGGGGGGCTTAGATCCTGCGGCAGAAGAGGTGGAAGCGCTCTCCTGCTTGGGGCAGGATGAGGTCCGCTGAGGAGTTTGTGATTACCCGATAACCTTGCAGCGGGGATGTTCTGCCCCGTTGCATGGAGGGACTCCCTCGTTAGCGAGGCTGGAGAGTCCTTTCCACGCGCTGTTCACCAGCACTGCTTTGTACGTGTGGTCACTCAATGCTTGTGTGTCACTGTTGGGCGCGTGAGGGCACAGCGCTTGTCCTGACGTGGCAGAGGCCTCCCGGGGCGGGAGCCGCAATGGCACGCAGGATGTTTGAGGGCAGAACTGTGCCTGAGGTTGGTCTCTGGCCTCTTAAAACATTTGCAGTCACCACTGCAGACTCCTGCACTGCTGAGCAGCGAGCCGGGCTTCCTCGGCTCGGAGCAGCAGCACAAATTGGGGTGTTTGGGCTCCTTTCACCCATCTGGATGCTTCAGCCGATCCTCGAGGAGCTGGTCAGGGCTCTCTGTCCTCGGGGCCTGGTCTAACAAAGCTGGTGTGTACGCAGCAGTAGCACTGTGCTTCCTGCCCGGACGTGCATGTCGTGACCATGACTCTCTTGTGTTTTTCCCCTGCCCCCTTTTTTGGCTCTGCGGTATTGTGTTTGTGGTGCTCCTTTTGACCCTTGTCCCTCCCTGGCTTGTGCCATCGTGTGACCGTCACTAACAGTCGTTGCCGGGAGCTGCGGGATCAGATCAGAGTGATGGACCAGAACTTGAGGTGTCTGTCTGTTGCCGAAGAAAAGGTACTAACCCTTCCCTTCTCCAACCGTTAAACCAGAACTCTTGTGGTCTTCTTGCTGCGCTCCTTCCCTCAGCTTACCTGCATCTTTCTCTCTCCTGGAATGTTCTGTCCTCTCTGCCTGCAAATATTCCCGTCTGACTGGTGGTGGCTGTCCATCTGTCTGTCGGAACAGCTTCCCTCCCCACAGCAAACTAAACATGCAGCTTCTACCTGAAGACTCTGGGTCTGGCAGAAATCTGTGTCCACAGCTCAGTGCCCTGCGCCTGTGCTGGCAGAAAATTTAAAATGGGAGCTTGGAGGCAGGAAGGGAACTTGCTTTCCGCCTCAAAGCAGGGTCCCGTCCAGTCTGATCGCAGACAGTCTCCTGAAGAACTTCACAGTCCTCCCTGCCCATGGATTCACTTCTTGTCTCTCCTGTCTTTCCCTCCCACTTCTTCTTTTTCCTTTTTCTCTCCCCTCTCTTTCCAAAACCCCACAGTAAATGTTCCGAGCTGGAAGAAGAGCTGAAGAATGTCACCAACAATCTCAAGTCTCTTGAGGCTCAGGCTGAGAAGGTAGGGCTGCTTGTCCAAGGGCCAGAAACATTTCTGCTTTACTAGGAGGGTGTGTGACAGCAGAGCACCCACTGGGATGGAAATGACGCAACCGCGGCCTTGAGCAAGCGAGGAGAGCTGTGTGTGCTCTCCAGGAGAGCTAACGGGGTTCGGCGCAGGGCTGATGTTGGCCGCAGGAGTGTGGGAAGTCTGGCTGCCTTTCCCTGCCTCGGGGCAGACTCCATCAGCCGCGGTGTTTGTGCTGCTGGGATGAGAATTTTTCTGTGCCCAAGTTCGTGTGACGTGTGTGATGTAGGACTCGCTGCCTGACCTGGTTCTGTTGGACTGGGGTAGGCGTGCAAGCAGGTCCCAGTTGGAGGTTTCTGCGGGCACGGGCGCTGCAGGGAGGAGTTTCAGTTCCTCCTGTAGCTGTGGGCTCTCTGGAGGGGGAGGTACCTTGGGCTGCTGGTGGCTGACTCCTCTCCTTTTCCGCAGTACTCCCAAAAAGAGGATAAATACGAAGAAGAGATCAAGATCCTGACTGATAAACTCAAAGAGGTGGGTGGCTGTTGGGATGGCCTCGGCTGGACTGGGGAGGGATGTGGAGGGCGGCAGACGTGTCCTCAGGCTGATGCTCTGTGTCCTTCACTGTATCCCAGAACTGTTGTACTGACTGCTGTGCTTCTCTCTGGCAGGCGGAGACCCGTGCCGAGTTTGCCGAACGGTCTGTAGCCAAGCTGGAGAAGACCATTGATGATCTGGAAGGTATGTTCTGGGGAGGGGAAGCCCAAGAGTATGTGGTGAGGAGCGGGGAGCTGAGGAAGGCTGTCTCCAGACAGCTGGAGAGTGGAGACACTGCTCTGCTCCTCAACACTTGGAGCGTGACCTAACTCGACTCCTGAGGCTCAGCTCGGTGCCTCTGGGCTCAAGTCCTGCCCCATCTGTCTGCCCTGAAAAGTTCCCCGGCTGTGCTGCGGCAGGCCTCGAGCTCTCCATCCAAACCCTGTGCTGGATCTGGCTGATAACGACAGATAGTGCAGCTGGTGGATCTTGTTGTGATGTCCTCAGGAATGTAGCTGGATTCCAGTGCTCCAGCCTAACCCCGTTCAAGGAGTGGCGTAGGAAAAACTGCCTGGCCTCCCCAGGAATCAGTTATAACGACACTCCTGTGCGCAGAGCCCCACACGCGTGGCTGTCTGCTGTGGACAGTGCTGCTGCCAGTCAACCACAGCAGTTGGGGGCTCTGAAACAGCCCCACAAGGAGTCAGGGCTCCGCAGGGTTGGTCCTGGTTCAAGATGAAACCACCAGAAGCCCTGTCCATGCAGCGTGGTGCCCAGGATGGGATCCTTGCCTGCTCCCGGTACTCCAGGAGCACTCCTGAGGCTTCCTGCCTTTCCCAAGCTGTGGAAGGAGAAGGTTCCAGCTGCTTCCCTTAAGTCTGAGGTTGCAGCTGGATTTTTCTGCGGATAGCTGTGGCTGGAGTGGTGATGCTGGCAAACCAAAGCTCTCGCCGGCCTCCTGCCTCCACCACAGCTTGGGCCTCGGTGGTTTTTCCGTACCAGGTCTTGGAGATTCAAAGCCACATCCTACCATCTGGAGTCAACTCGGGAGGTGGTTTTTTTTTTTTTAATCTAGAAATAGCAATGGTGTCAGCTGCGCTGTTCCAGAACTGCAGCCAAGCAGCAATCTGAGCCACCTCATGATCCAGGGCAAGCTTTTATTGAGAACTCCTCCAAATCCCTGCATCCTCCCCTTGAAACACGGTGATGGAGAGTTGGCTCTGCTCTCCAGTCTTGCTGCTGAAGTGACCTAGTTTATGACAACTGACAAAGTTTTCTGGGCTCTGCGAAGCCGTTAACAACATTCCCAGCTGTACCGTAGCCTAGGCAGCCAGAGCGGGGAGCAGTTGGTGCCAGGATGGGTTTCGGGGCTGCCTCCTCCCCGAAGGCGGGGGTTCTGCCCGTCTGCTCCGTTTTCTGATGGAGGATGCAGGTGTGGCCTGTCTGCTCTGCTCGCCCTGCCCGGCTGAGTGGCACAGAGGGGGAATTCCCTCTGATGCCAGGGACTATGACGTGACCAACTTCTCCCAAGCAGGTTTTTGTGTTGAGACTGAAGGTGAGAACAGAGCTCCTCAGCTGATCCGTGCCTTCCGTAGGTGGAGCAACCTTCTCCCGGAGGGGATGGAGTTGCCCTTCCCTGCTGCTCCTCCTGCCAGCGGTTCTTGCTGACCTAGCTGGGCGGCTTGTTCTCACAAGCTGCTGTGGTTTGTTCTTGGCTCTGCTCCCCTCGGAGCTGGCTTGTAATCCTGGAAGGCGCTCCCTGGTCAGCCTGCCCTCGGGCCGCTGGAACCCACCCACTCATTGTCGGGAACTCCTACAAGCCCTGATGGCTCCACATCTAACTTCATTTTCCTCTGTTCATGAACCCCATGCTGCTTTCCCTGCCCCAGGCTGTTGGAAGAACTCGCTGCCTTCCCTCCCTCATTGTTTCCCTTTTGTTCTCCTCCTAAACCTCTTCTAGATGAGCTCTATGCCCAGAAACTGAAGTACAAAGCAATTAGTGAGGAGCTGGACCACGCCCTGAATGACATGACTTCCATGTAAATATGAGCTGGCTGGTGTTTGCCTCTCGCTTCAGCAGGCTGGACTGCCAGAGCTTGCTTGGTTTGCTGTGGTTTTCGTAGTTGGAGAATCCATGGGCGTTGTATCGTCCCGGTTACTTCTACAGATCTCTGCCCCGAGGATCGGGGAGGCGTCCCCGCAGCATGCGCTGCTCTAACGCTCGGTCCGCGTGATCTGCATGTGTAACACGCTGTGCTGGCCTGGAAGGGCTCTGACCTGAACTCTGAGTGCACTTCCCAGTCCCGCTGGGAAACGCTTCCTACGGTCGTGTGGCATAGATGCCTGCGGGAGCCGCTGGGCCACGGTCTCGGGATTCCTCCTGGAAGAGGCCGTGGATAGCACTCGATTCCTTAGGAATTGCCGTAACAGGCTTGAGATGGGCTGGACCGTGAACTGATCTGTGGAAGTAGCTGAACTGCTCTGTTTCTGCAGCTCTGCTACCCGGCTTGCTGTTGTGATTTGCGGTGGGTTCTGCTAACAGCTGCTCCGCACGGTCCTTCCCACTAACTGAGGAGAAGCCAGGTCCTTGCCCGGCAGAGGAAAGCCCTTTCCTAGTGTCCAACCGCTCCCTAAGCAAAGTTTGCCGTGCACAAACACTTCAGCTTCTCTTAAAATTAGTGTCTCCTTCTGTCTCACACAGATAAGTCTTGCGATTCCAAACTCCACTTGGGATTTGCCTCTCTGCTCCATGGCTTGTTCCGCGCCTGCACCCCGCGTTCACGCTCTCGTCATCTTGCTCTCAATTCCAGTACCTTTTTCCAGTTACTGTGCGCAGGGCACCCCTGGGAATGAGCGCTGTAAAGACGCTGAAGCTTGACAGCAGCAGCAGCCCCCCGGTTCTGCCGCGCTCGCTCCTAAACAAAGCTCGCTCTGTTTGACCCGACGTGCCAGAAACGGCTGTGCGCGGAGGGGCTGCCCTTGCGCTGTCTGCGTGTAGCTGGGAGTGTGTTGTTCTCATCTGCATATCTTCTGTAGAGCCATAAAGCTCCTTTTGTATTTCTCTTTGCCTCTTACTCAAGCATGATGTCACTTTTTTTTTTTTGAGGAAAACAATTCTTGTATAAAGGGAAGGGAATGGCTGGTGCTTTGGAGAAATTAGATTCTAGGGACTGCTGGCTGCTCTAGAGTAACTTTCACTGTTTGATCAGACCCACGTAACCCTCGGTGCCCTTGGGGAGCGCACAGACTCTGTTAACATGCTGGATTTTTCACTTTGGGTCTCTTAGCCCATGCCTCAGCATGCTCTAGGCTCAAAGGGGAGGCTGGGGTTTGCTGCAGGAACTCGTCCAGCTGCACCCGCTTCAGCCTGGCTGAAAACATCCTCACGCCCGCCCGCTCTGTAGCATTCACCGGCATCACTCGCCAAATGCTGGCTTGCCGTGGGAAGTCACCACACCTGATAGGCGCTAGGTCCCAGGCAGGGTGTGAAAGCAAGTGAATATCCCGTGAGGTCTGGCTGGTTTCCAGCTGGACAGGACAGGGCGGGTGCGAGGGGGATGCATGGCCCCTCGCCTCAGGAATGAGAACGTGCCCCAGCAGGGCTGTGGGCACCCGGGGCAGGGAAGCGGTGTTCTGCAGAGTGCTCCTGTCCCCGTGCAGGGGCTGGGGGTGCTGGGTTCGTGCCGGGAGCGTGGCATGGAGCTTTACACCGAGCACTGCAGCTGGCGGTGGGCTGCAAACACTGTGTGTCACTGCTGGTCCGAGTCTGTTATCACTGATCAGCCTCTTGTAACCGCACATGGTGCCTCACGGTGCCTTGCCAAATTTTTTTTCCTTTCTGGATCGGTTCATCTGCCACAGTGCCCGAAGAGCCCTTCGCGATCAGAGTTTTGATGAAATGAGACACCTCCCGTGGTTTCCTCAGGTTTGTGTCACTCTGTTCTCCACACAAATGGCACCAGTACTGCTAGAGTCCTGACACACCAAGCTGCCCCAGCCCACCCTCACTCTGGGTCAGGGCTGTCCCCGCTCTGCCCAGCCTGGGTGGGGAAGGAGGGAGCATTCTCGCAAGGAATTTCAAAGGGTGATAGCTTGGAAAGCTCTGGGAGAAGGTGGTCTGGCTCTTCTGGGGTGGGGGGCGATAACTCTGTGCCCTGCAAACGCAAAGCGAGAAATCATAACTCCTCAGTAACCAAAGGTGCAGCTGGAGTTGGGGCCTGGATCCTGCGGGAGGGGCAGGGCTTCTGTCGCGAGTGTGTGGAGGCGTCCAGCCCAGTGCTCAGTTCCCAGCTCCGAGGGGGGAGGTGGCACCCTGCCCTTGTGAAACAGCCACTCCCCGCGTGGGGAGGTCCTGTCAGCCATGGGTTTGTTACCGACTCATTCAGCGCGGAGCTGGTGGCTCTGCGGTTGCACGGCAGTGTTGCAAGTGATGTTATCGGAGGCTGGGCTGTGGCAGGCCCTTTCCCTGCTTGCCCTGATGGAATTCCGCGCTGGGTGGTAGGTGGATGGATGGATGGATGGGTGGGTGATGCAACTTCTGCCCTGGGAGGTTTTGAGAGGTTTCTGGTCGGACTGGATTGTGAGGCTTGTGCGGGCTGGTTACCCTGCGTGAGGCCGTTGACTCAGGAGTGCTCCAAACGCAGATTTGCTGACCAGGAGGCACAGGTCCCCAAGCTCCCTGCATTGTTCGGACAGCTGGTAAGGCTGCCCTGCGGGCTGGGTGGAGAGGTCGAGCGCTGGAGCCAGCCCCAGCAGACCTGGGCACGCATTCCATGTGGAGGAGCTGTTCCTGAGGTCTAGGAAGGGTCACGCTAATTCCTGCCCTCAGTCTGCTCCCTGGGGCAGTGGATCGTCACCTCCCTGTCCAGCCGCACGAAGGCTGTGAGCCATCGCGGCATCCTGCGCTCACTGCTGCTTGTGACCATGGCTCACTCATCCTCTGCTGCTCCTGGAGCCCCAGGGCCACCCTGGAGCTGGAGACTGGCGTCAGGGTGCCCACATTTGCTGAATTTGTTCTCTGCGGTGGCTGACAGGCTGCATGGCAGGACAGTGGCCCCCCGGCCCCCAGAGGTGACCTGTCCTGGGGAGATCAGCTCCCTCTCCCTGGAGCTGCTGATGAGCCGACGCGCTCAGGGCCAGCCTTGGGGATGAGCGTGGTCTCAGGAGCCCTGCGGGGCTGTGAGGACAGGGCCTTGGTGGGGAGGGGAAGCCTGTCAGACGCAGCGGCAGTGTTTGCCCGGCTCATTTAGTTCTGGGACTGACATAAACCAGGAGCCTGTGCTCCACAACTCCCCTGTCCCGTGCCCAGAGCAGCTCCTGCCTCCAGTCCCTGTCTAAACGTCACAGGTTGTTAGGAGGAGCGTCCCCCAGGTCAGGTACGCAGTGTTGTCATTCTCGGTTCTTCTGGTGTCCCTGTCCTGCTGTTAAACCCCACCGATCCCCCTGTGCTGTGGCTAGCTCTAAGGTGTTTCTGGTCCGGCTGTGGTAGGACCACTTCTTTCTGCAAAGTGCTCCACGGGCTTAAAGCACAGCCCCAGCCTCTCTCCTTACCTGGGTCCAGCCCCGCCTGCGGGCTCCTCTTCTGGTGGGCTCCTCTTCCTCTCTTTGCCTTCGTAAGCCCTTGGCAGCGCTTCCGTTCCTGCTTCCTCTGTGATCTTCCTGAGCTGAAACGCAAGTTTAGAGTGAGACAAGCCTTCATTCTCCCTGGTTTTCTCCGTCTGTTTAACAGCCTGGACTTGATCTCAGAGGCACACGGTGCGCAGACAGCTTATTTGATGTGCTCGTCTCGGTCCTCTACTAATGTTCCCTTTCTCTCTTTTTCTCTCTTCCTCTTGTTTTCCCCTAATCCTGTTGCCACTGCAGAGCACCTGTACAGCCAGCTTGAGAAAAACCGCCTGCTCTCTAACGAGCTGAAGTTAACGCTGCATGATCTGTGTGACTGAGAAGGGGGCCCACTAATGCCATTAAACAAGCTTATTGCGACCACCAGTGCTGGGGACCACACTGAAATCCCGTCACTCTTAAGACTTGGCAGACTTGCAGCTCTTATGCAATTGCTGCTATTTAACGGGGCACTTGAATTTATCCTCTAACTTATTTAAGAGCTTTTTTTTTAAAATATATATAAAGGTAACCTCTATTCTTGGTGAAGTTACCCTCGGACATCGCCGGTTTTTGAGCAGTCTTGTTTCCTCGTCCGGGGGGTCCTGTCTGGCTCCTCCATGGAACCAGAGGCTGCACCCACCGAGAGAGGGGTGGGATGACGTTAGGCTGATGTCTGCTACGACTTAATTTACTGTTAGCTGATGACTGTAGGATTTTCTGCTGCATGGAATGATGGCTTCTAACAATAAAGGACTGACGTCGTGGTCTGTTGGACACCGCACACCTGTAGTACTTTCCTGTAGGGTTGATCCTAACCGAGGAGGTGTGGGGGAAGCGGTTGTTCCTGGGGCCTGACCCCAGCGCAGATGCAGAGCCCCAGAACGGGCTGGGAAAGCTCATGGAAAAGCAAGTCCCAAAATCCACAGCGTGAAGCTGTGCCTGCAGGGACTCTTTAAATGCTGCAGTTCCTAGAGCTCTAGGAAGGCTGCTTCTCGCTCTCTGCGCAGTTTCTGATCCTGGGGAGGTTGGGGAGCGGCTTTGAGAACCTGCCTGTACCTAAAGGACATCTTTCTACAGCCTCTCTGTCCCGTGTCCCAGCCTGTGGATGTCTTCAGTGACATGGGTGGGCTCACCTTTGGAGTGAGGCGTACCTAGAGCGCTAGTTGCTGAGCTGAGCTCTCCTCCTGGCTTAAGGAACATGTGAGAATCGACCGTGCAGCTGCCTGTAGTCTCGGGCGGAGTTGCAGCACCCTCGCTCCTTGCTCCCTGCCTGCCCTTCACCGACAGCAGCCTCTTCCCCGCTGTCCCTGAGGCGCGGTTGTCTACTCCCTGCTGCTGGGAAGTCGCGGTCTCGGTGACCAGCTTGGCATCTCTGTCCTGTGCTGGGGAGAAGGGGGGGCACAACCAGCTGTCATTCCAGGGGGTGATTTCTTAAGTGTGTTTTACCTCCGCGGTGCTCTTGGGTGGCTTGCTGGGCCACGGGGGGGGGG